AGGAGGAGGAAGAGGAGGAGGAGGAGGAGAAGGAGAAGGAGGAAGAAGAAGAAGAAGAAGAAGAAGAAGAAGAAGAAGAAGAAGAGGAGGAGGAGGAGGAGGAGGAGGAGGAGGAGGAGGAGGAGGAGGAGGAGGAGGAGGAGGAAGGAGAAGGAGAAGGAGAAGGAGAAGGAGAAGGAGAAGGAGAAGGAGAAGGAGAAGGAGAAGAAGAAGAAGATCAACAACAACAACAACAACTTCCACTTCCTGTCAGCTGCTCGACCTCCCCCTCGGAATCAGATTCCGACAGGGGCATGACACCATGTGTCTAACTTCACAACTGAAGTGATTCCCTTTACAATGGTGGCAAGAAAGGTCGTAAAATGAGTCAAAGCCCACTTAACAACTGTCTTGCTTAGCAACCAAAAAGTTTGGGCTCAATTGTGGTCATAAGGCGAGAACCACCTGTACATATCGCCCAACTATTTTTAGAGAAAACACACTTACCAATTGCTCTGGAAACAGCCAGGGTGCCGTTTACACGCCAACAGTCCATGTATGTTATGCAACCCCCTAAATCTTCTATGCGTTGTCGTTCATCCTGTGAAGGCACGGAAGCACACACAACTGAGGCTCTGTTGTAGCCAACACTCCAGAAGATAGGCTTAAGATACAGAAGGATCTTGACAGACGTGAACATTGGGCGCTATCTAACAAAACGAAATTCAGTGGTGAAAAAAGTACGGTTCTACATTTAAGGCAAGAAAAACCAAATGCACAGGTACACATATAGGTGGTACCCTGCTCAATAGTAGTAACTGTGTGAGGGATCTCGGAATCCTAGTGGATAACCATTTAAATATGAGTTCAGCAGCGTGCAACGTGCCAAAAAAAGCCAACACAGTCCTAGGCTGCATTAACAGGGGTAGAATCAAGATTACGTGAAGCGTTAATACCACTTTATAAGGCCTTGGTAAGGCCACACTTGGAATCCTGCATCCAGTTTTGGTTGCCACAATGTAAAAAGGATGTTGAGACTCTGGAAAGAGTGCAGAGAAGAGCAACAAAGATGATTAGGGGACTGGAGGCTAAAACATATGAAGAACGGTTGCTGGAATTAGGTATGTCTAGTCTGATGAAAAGAAGGACTAAGGGTGACATGATAGCAGTCTTCCAATATTTGCCCCTTTGGTGTTGCCCCAAAGAAGAGGGAGTCAAGCTCATCACCAAATCATCTGAAGGCAAGAAAAGAAGCAATGGGTGGAAACTAATCAAGAAGAGCTTAGAACTAAGGAGAAATTTCCTGACATTTAGAGCAATTAATCAGTGGAAAAACTTGCCTCCGGAAGTTGTCGATGCTCCAACGCTGGAGGTTTTTAAAAAGATGTTGGATAAACATTTGTCTGAAGTGGTGTAGGGTTTCCTGCCTAAGCAGAGGGTTGGACTAGAAGACCTCTAAGGTCCTTCCAACTCTGTTATTCTATTCTATTCTATTCTATTCTATTCTATTCTATTCTATTCTATTCTATTCTATTCTAAAGAGAGAAGAGATTTGGAAAATACGATGAGGAAAAATTGCGTCCCTTTTCATTTTTTTAGGCTCCAGAAGTTGTGGGTGCTCCATCACTGGAGATTTTCAAGAAGAGACTGGACAGCCATTTGTCCAGAATGATATAAGGTCTCCCGCTGGAGCAGGGGGTTGGACTAGAAGACCTCCAAGGTCCCTTCCAACAGTGTTTATTCTTCAATTAAACAATAAATCAAGGATACAGAAAGAAATCAGGTTTTGGGACCATGGGGGGATTTTCCAAGTGGGTCAATTACTGTTTTTATACCAAGATGAGCCAAAATAAACATAAGAGTACAAATTGTGAAGAGCTACACGGGGCAAGTTACCTCTCGTTCTGGTTTGTGAGGCTCCATCAGAGTTATAACTTTTCCTTGCTGGACCAGCATCACTTGAGAATCCCCCAGCCAGGCTATGTGCAGCTTGTCATCAACCAGGAAACAAGACACCCCTGTGGTGCCGCTCCGAAGCTTCTGCGGACATGTTTTGAAAAAAGCAGAAGTTATTTTTCTCCCCCCAAGACTGAAATATAACACACGAGAAAAAGTCACACCTGTTGGTTAACCACATGGCAATGTTCTGACCCAGCTCCCCAAACACAGCAAACTCTCGGACATGAATTCGAATGATTCCTTTATTAGGAATGCTGGCAAAAAGTTTATCTCTCACACAGCAGGCTAACAAGTCTGTCTGCTACACCTATTCACCTCCACCCCCGCTGCCTTTTATCCCCAGAGTTAGGGTGGGGCTTTGCCAGCAGCGATGGCTCTTCCGTCCCAAGGACCGGCTCATAGATTTCCACTGCTCTCCTCTCCTCTGCGCATCCACGCATCAGGCACTGAACCCAGCTGTTCCTCCTCTTCCTCATCAGCCACTCCCAAAATTGGGAGCTATTGACTCTCTCACTTCGGTTGGTTTCTTTTATAGTTAATTGGATATTTCTGTGTTTGGCTGCATTCCACAGAACTGGAAGGTGCGTGCTTATTTTGGGGGGCTCTTTAGGATTCCTTCCAGCTGGGAATGAAAATAACTCCCAGCATTGCAATAAAATAGGTTTTGCTTTTAAAACAAGTTTGTGATTATGATTGACGAAGCCTGGGTAGCCCTATCAGTAATTATTAAATAGTAGCTGCCACTCAAAAATGGATGCAGGTACCTCTTTCTTCCTCTCTCTTCAATTTTTATAATGGAGACATGCATAATTTTGAGAAAAACACAATTTTTTTTTCTGGGGGGTTTCACTTCAGCCTCTGCACAAGGCTAATTATTATGTATGACAATTTCCCTTCTAAATTTCCGGTTTTAAAACTGTACAAACCACGCGGGAACTGGAACAAAAAACAAGTGTTGTTTTTATTAAAGACAGAAAACAAAGAGATCTTTGTTACTACTCGCACAAGTTGTGTTTCCAGCTGAATAACCACTGGATCGGTGATCACTAATACCGAAACTGTGACAAAAAACAACAACCCCTTATTCTCTGCATGCACAAAACCACACCTGCCATTATGTGGGTGCGTAAAATACTTCACAGAGCACGCTGCAAATCCATTAATAAACGAAAACTTTTACAGCAGACCCTGAAGTGTGCATCTTCTTTCTTGCAACTGCAAACACAACACTGAGGCTAACAACGGCCAATTGTATTCTAATCCCCTACAGTTTAGTCCTCAACTTACAAAAAGTGAGACCAGAATTTCTGCGGTTAAGCAAGACCGTTTATTATTTTTACAAATAACTCAAAGCGGTGAATATATCCTATGTACGTACTTTCCTCTTCCTATTTGCCCTTAACGCTGTGAGGGAGGGACTGGCCCAAAGTCACCCATTTGGATTTCATGCCTGAGGTGTGACTAGAACTCCCAATTTCCTGGTGCTTGGCCCAAAGTCACCCAGCTCGTTTTCATGCCTAGTGGCACTTGTTAAGAGAACAACTTTCTTCAAACTCACCCGCTAATTTTTAAATGTCCTCTTTGGTCAACGATATATCAGCATTTGGTCAACCATTCAACCCTTCTACCTCAACTCACCTCTCTCCTGGCTCTCAAGAGAAACATCTCGTCCGTCTTCTGGAAGGAATCTCTCAGCGCTTCCGCGGGGTTTTCCAGAAGCTTCTCGTGATGCGCCACATTGACATGCAAATGGGCAGCAGCGTAATTAGCGGCCTCGATCCCTCCATGACCATCGTAGACGGCAAAGTAGGCGCGATCAACGTCATCCTTTCAGGGGCAAGGGCGAATAAAGACAGAAGGAAAACACAAATCGGGCATGTTGTCCCCAAAATAGTCTCTTTTGGAGAGAAATGAAATGTGTGTTTTTTTCACACACTCACATACACCCAGATGTTTTTCCAACAGCAAGGCCCATCAGAGAAGGTTAACTGGGACAAAGATAAGGAAGGACAGAAGAGAATGTCTGCAATTCAGATGAACTGTGAGGTCCTTGGTGGTCTGAGCTTGGTGGTTTGCTCGCAGACTTGGTTGTTTCATTACCCGCCTAGGTAGCATCATCAGTGCTAGAAGAGAGTGGTGGAGGAGGAGGAGGAGGAAGAGGAGGAGGAAGGGTCCTTGGTGCTATCTGGGTTTGTTTTCTTGCACATGTTTCATTACCCAACTAGGTAATAGCACCAGTGTGACAAGAGAGTGGCGTATCCAGAGTGGGAGGAAGAGGAAGACTGTGGGATCCTCAGTGCTCTCTGAGCTTGGTCGTTTTCTTGCACATGTTTCATTATTGAACTCGGTTACATGATTAGTACTAGAAGGGAGTGAAGTTTGTGGAAAGGAGGGAGGAAGGAAGGAAGGAGTGAGGAAAGAAAGGAAGGAGATAAACAAGAGAAGGGAGAGATTAGAACAAAAGGAAAGAAGTAAAGAGAGAAGGGAGGACAAAAGGGAGGGAGGGATGGAGGATAAGAAGGAAAGAAGAGAAAGAAGAGAAAGAGATAAAGGGAGGGAGGAAGGGATAAATAGGGAAGGAAGGAAGGAAGGAAGGAAGGAAGGAAGGAAGGAAGGAAGGA